CCAGCACCTTCTGCCTCGCCCCATTTGGAGCCGGCTCAGGGTCCTCTCTACACCCACAGGCCTGTGTCTGTTGTCCCTTTGGAGGCAAGGTCATCACACCAGGAGGCAGGCGTGCACTTGGCTCCATAAGGAGCTCCCTGTGTTGGGGAGAATTGGGAGAACGGCCTCCATTCTCCGAAATCCAGGGCCAGGCAAGCTTGCAAGGGCCTGAGGGCTGACCTTGAGCAGGGGACTTCAAAGGGTTTCCACAATGAGTGCTTTCCGCAGACAAGGCCTTACCTGATGGCCGTGACATAAAACAGACAGAAGCTAAGCTGCTTGGGCGAAGTGGTGCATGTTGAGGGCGCCTGGGAGAGGGACCAGAGTCCCCTTTCCCCTGTAGCTCTGGGTACCAGGGAGATGGCGGAGTAAACCCCACTCCCTTCCTGCCGCCGCCACTTGAGCCCGGGCTCCAGCACCTTCTGCCTCTTTCCATTGGGACCGGTTCAGAGGTCGTGTCCATACCCACGGGCCTGAGTAGGTTGCCCATTTGGAGGCAAGGGACCCTCTTTTTTCCCAACTTTCAGAGCTTCTCCTCCGTTCTCTCCCTACATGCCCTACTGACGAGGAGCACAACGCAGCAAGGTACAGGGATGAGCACAGGCTTTGGAGTTGAGTGTGGGTTCAAGGTCTGGCTTCTAGTTGCTGTCATCATGTATACGTTAATTCCCTGAGCCTCAATATCCTCTTCTGAAAACGGGGACAATAACACCCATCTCCTCCTAGGGTTATTAAGAGGATTAAATAAGGCAATGGATGTAGGGCAGATATGTCAAACTCTCGGCCCTAGAGGGTTTGGCTCAGTAGATAGAGCCTCGGCCAGAGGCCCCCCCCCCCAGTTGAATGCCAGTCTAGGACGTGTACCTTGGTTGCAGGCTCCTCCCCAGCCCAGGCCCTGGTAGGGGCGCATACAGGAGGCAACCAATTGATGTGTTTCTCTCACATCAATGTTTCTCTCTGTCTTTTCCTCTCTCTCTCTCTTCCACTCTCTCTAAAAAGCCAATGGAAAAATATCCTCGGGTGAGGATTAACAAAACACACACACACAAAACCGCAACCTCAGTGGACTGGGATGATGCTTTAATCAACCGAGCTACCTGGCCAGGGCTGGTTTTCCTTTTATTTGGGCTCCATTAACGGCTCCCCGGCCCCCGCCCCGCCTCCCACCACACTTCCTCGCCAACCCCTTTCATTTCTCTTTCCTCTGTTCATTTGGACCCACAGAACACCCAGCCCTCTCTGCCTTGATCCCTGACCTTGGCCCCTTTCCCCAGGGCTTGTCAGTGCCGGGCCGGCTCCAGTATTGGCAGGCTGGCCTCCTACAAAGCCCGTCGCTTCTGATCCTCTCTGCCTCCCCTGTCGGTTCTCATCACATCAGCTGAGTAGTTCACCCATCCGGGCCCCTTGTCCTCTGTGGCTGGTGCCTTCCCCAGCTCCCCTGGTAATGAAATGGCTGCAGAGAGGGTCCTTCCAGGAGAAACAGGAAGCTTTCATCAGAGGCCGTCTGCTGTTTCTGCCTCGTTATGCCGTCCAGTCTCCTTTTCAGGGAGCTGTTCCCCCTACATCACTATTCCTACCTCTGCATCTGTTACCCTCGTGCCCCAAACACGGAAGTCCTTTCAGTTCCCGCTAGTCCTTTCCCCAGCCTCTCTCCCAGGCTCTGCGGGTAGTCAGCTTTCTCAGAGAAGGGAACTAGGACTGGAGGAGTAAGGGTAAAAGGGAAGGTCAACAAGGTAAAAGCTACACACAACCCTTCACTGAGAGTCATAAAGGAACAGGCCATAAGACGACAACGCCATGGTTCCTACCTTGGGGCTCAGACACCATGGGTTAGTCTTCCCCTGGAAGGCAGGAGCCACACAACAGGAATTGACTGGGGCTTGGGACAAGCTATCTATCTAGATCAAGGGCACTGTGGAGTTGGTATATGTGGGGGCCAGGGGGCGGAGGGGAGTGTCCAGACTAATGGGAACAAGGACACATGGAACAGGCCTAGGGGCTCAAGCAGGGCATCCTCCTCCCACCCCCAGACTCCACCCAAGCCCCCCACTACCCCCACCTCTAGCGTAGCTATAACTTGGGCTCCTTGCTGCCATAGTAGAGAGAAGCATCTGCCTGCCACATGCCATTCAACAGATTTGATTCCCTTCAGAAGAAAAACCTCCCAGAAAGTGATCAGGCTGCATTCCTGTGAGGGAAGACCTTTAGAGGAGCATGTCCAGGGGTGGGAGAAGCCTCAGGAGAAGAGAGCCCTAAGGAATGCAGGCTGCTTCCTGGCAGAGGGTTTCCTCCCTCACCCTTGACCTCCTCACGTCGTCGTAGTTTCAATGAGCCGGGCAGGGGGACCATACATCTCTGGAGCCCAGGCTGGAGCCTGCTAATACGACATGTCACTCCTCTTCTGGACATCCAAGGGTGACTTTAAGAAGGACCTGGAGGACGTTGGGAGAAGGTGAGAAGGGACAAGATGGTGGGAAGAAGCAGCCAAGCATTCTAGAAGTGTCTCCCTTTCACAGCGACTCATTTGTAGTACTTAAGAGCAGAAAGGTGCCAGGATGGTTCCCACGGAAAGGCCCTCGGCTATCTTGTGGAGGTGACTTGGAAAGGTTAGGAGTTCTGTTGGAAGAGGAAAGCAGAATGCACAAGCTTCCAGCCCCACTCTGGAAAAGCCTCAGGGGCAGCTGGGAGGGAGCTGAGGAGAGCAGGTGGCAAGGCTGACAAGGAGCTGCTGACACCACTGATCCCCGGGGCACTGGGGCCGTGACATCAGGGGGAGAAGAAGGACGGGGGCCGGAGGTGGAGCCCTGCCAGATAGCTTCCTGTGTTAGCCCGACGTGATCCAGCAAAGGCCAGGCACTGGTAAGAGAGGAGCTGAGACAGGGGTGGCACGAAGGGCAGATGAGTAAGAACTGGCTGTCTTGGGAGGCCCAGGGCAGGAGTCGGTGCCCTTCCCCCAGGAGCGGACCCTCCAGCTAGCCAGCCTGGGTGCTGCTGGATCTACTCTGACCCTCCTTTGCAGTGGGGAAGAGGCAGGTGACCCCCAAAGCTCTCCTGCCTGCTTCTGTGTGATATGTTTGATATTGGGTTGTTTAATTAGGAACCAACTAAATGTCAAACATATTCTTACAGCAGTGGGCAATCTGGCATCAAACTCTTTCCTACCTCTTGGGGTCTGGGGCTCCTGTGATTTTTACGGAACCTCTTCCTCCAGGATCCACCTGGAAGAACAGCCCACATGGATTGCAATCTTAAGCTGGAGGGCTGGTATTTATTTGAGTATCTAATCTTCCTCTATCTTTTCCTTGTACCCAAAGTGATCTTCTCCTGTCCCTTATATTTTTCTCCTCTTTATCCAACATGCAACCCCTTTTAAAAAATTCTTTATTGTTGAAAGTATTACACATGTCTCCTTTTCCTCCCATTGACCTCTCCCAGCCCGCGCCCACCCCCTGCAGCCCCCTTTCTTAGCCACTGCCTCCTGACCCCGGGACTGTCTTGTTTCTGAGTCCCACAGTAGGAGTCCTTAATTTCTCTGCTCTCCTTCAAGAGTTAGCTGATGGTCTATCGGCCCATCTAACCTCTAGTGACTGGAAGCTCTCAAGAGTGGACTCCAGTTTTGCCCTCTGTCTCAGTTCCCCCATTGCTGGGGCTTAGTATTAACACGACCCATCTATCCTTGGCATAATGACTGATTAGAGCCATTTATATTCTTCCCTGATAGCTCTGGTCACCTTGAACAGTGTCCCCCTCGCTCTTGGCATTTTCTCCGATTGTATGGTGCCAGTGTCCTGGGATCCATCGCCACCTGTCCGTGACAAGGCTCCAAGTGGAAGAATGAACATGGCCGGGAACGAAGCTGGGCAGAATAACGCTGGCAATGATGACTAGCATGATGAGTGCGTGGGAGGTGGGGGTGGCGGATATGAAGGGAGCAGAGGGTGAGAAGAGGAGAGGAGCAACACAGGCCTCGGTGTGTGCGGGTATCAAAGTTCTATTTATTTTTTTTTAATATATTTTATTGATTTTTTACAGAGAGGAAGGGAGAGGGATAGGGAGTTAGAAACATCGATGAGAGAGAAACATTGACCAGCCGCCTCCTGCACACCTCCTACTGGGGATGTGCCCGCAACCAAGGTACGTGCCCTTGACCGGAATCGAACCCGGGACCTTTCAGTCCTCAGGCAGACGCTCTATCCACTGAGCCAAACCGGTTTGGCTCAAAGTTCTATTTAAAGATCACTATGGGCAAACAGAGGGCATGGTCCCATCTAGACTCTTCTGCCCATGCCCTGATTCTCTCTCCCACCCCACTTGAAGCTCTGGGATGGCCTTCCAGATCTCCACTCTACCCTCTTACCCCATCCCTGTGGCTCTTAAGGGGGAGGAACAGACCTCCCTGCCAATTAGAGGCTCTCAAAATAACGCCGTAATTTGATCAGGGGATTTGGGGGAATTTTCAGGATCATGAGTGACCTCCCCTTTTTACTGTTGCTCAAGCTTCCAAAATACCAGAAATCAAAAGGTGAAATTCAACGGTGGTGTCTGATCAGCACCCAACACAGTCCAGGTGAGAGGAAGGGGAAACGGAAGAGCAAGTAGGACCCTTTGAGTGAAAACTACCAGTCTAGAATTACCAAAGTACCTTTCTCTATTTCCATGTTCACCTCTCCGCCCCCCCCTCCCCGCCCCTCTTTAAAAAAACAACAACACCCATAGAGCTGCCCAGAGTGAGTGGAAAGTCTCAGGGTCAGCAAGAGCCTCCCCCTCCCCCACTTTCCATTGTCTAAAATCGGCCTCAGCTGTTCCCCCATTTTTTCTCTGCTGGTGATGTCAGTCCATGAAAGTGTCTCACCCCGTGTTCCCCCCGGAGAACAATGATGGGCTGGAGGGATCTGGAAGGACTATATTAGGAACAAGAGGTGGAGCCAGGAGCAGAGATAAAGGCTCAAGTCTGGGGGGCTCCCCGTCACTCAGCCAGCAGCACCTCCTCTCTGGCCCTCGTCTCCGTTCTCTGGTGTTCGCCGGTGAGCTCAGCAGCGGCCGCGGCTCATGATGGAGGCCATCAAGAAAAAGATGCAGATGTTGAAGCTGGACAAGGAGAACGCCCTAGACCGGGCCGAGCAGGCGGAGGCCGAGCAGAAGCAGGCAGAGGAAAGGAGCAAACAGGTAGGCGCTGGGACCGGGGTCTCCCACCTACGGGCGAGCGAGATTGTGCAACGGAAGAGAGCTTTCGTGGGAGAGGCAGTGACCACTGGGACCTGATGGGCAGAGGACAATGAGGGTATCCAGCTCAGGCTGCCCGTGTGACCTTGGGAACGTTAGTGTCCCCTTCGGAGCGAGAGTGTGTCTCCCTGATTTAAGCGAGAGCCGATCACATTTTGTTAGAGTCCTGATTTCTAGAGGAAGAGGTGGGACCTGGGCATACAGCAACGCTTTTCCCTTAGATGGAGTTATAGGTACCTATCCCCCTAATATATTTACCATCCCAGAGTCTTAGATGAAAACCTGGCAGGACTGGATCATCTTAGGATCAGAGATCACAGGGCGACAGGACAAGACCAGCAAAGCTCCTGGGGCAGCTGGCTGGAAGTAACTGGAGAGAAAGTGTGTCATTCTGGTGACAGCTCAGGGGTCTGTCAGAGCTCAAGTTCCCAGGGTCTGAGCCGGGCACTGTTGTGTATGCATGTCTTGTGTGTGTGACTCTCACGGCTCCTGTAGTTAGAAGATGAGCTGGCAGCAATGCAGAAGAAGCTGAAAGGGACGGAAGATGAGCTGGACAAGTATTCCGAAGCTTTGAAGGATGCGCAGGAGAAGCTGGAGCTGGCCGAGAAGAAGGCAGCGGACGTGAGTATTAGAGAGATGGGGGGCGCGGGCGGTTCACCCACACATATAAGATCTTCATGTTAATATGACTAAATTCCAAACACACTTGGTCATACATACGTGTGGATTCACAGAATGTAGACATAGATGCCCACATACATTACAGCATATAACCACATGCTGGCATATCCTTGTAACGGCAGATATGTACTTTCTTAAAGGCACATAGAAGTCTCTTATTTTGGTCTCACCCCAACCTAGGAATTCCGTGATCTTTTCCAGGACCTGGACAAAGGGAAGGGACTCTACGTCCAGAATACTATCACTTATCCCACCTCCTCCCCCAGGCCGCATTCTTCGCTTTTGTGCCCAAGGCTTGGCACGTAGATATGTGTATTAATAGGGAAACTCTCATCTCCTAACTGCCCAGCAGAGGCAGCTCAGTTTTCATAATGGGACAAAGAAGGTCACATTGACCCTGGCCTCATCTCGGTTTACTTATCTTGGCTAATGTGGACATCTGCCCTTACGCTTCAGAGATGCTACAGGAAGCATTGTTCATGGGGCAGCAGAGAGGACCTTAGAACGATAGACTATAATAGAAATAAGATGGACTCTTAGATGTGGGGTAAGCTTAGAGGGTAAAGGTATCACCACAGACCTCACTCTGTGACCTTGACTAGATTGCTCAGCTTCTCTAGAGCTGAATTTTCCCATTTGGAAAGGAAATAAATTCTCTTTTCCACTTTATTTTATCCCATAACCACCTACTTTCGTTCACTTCAAACTTGAAATTCACCACAAAGATAAATGCGAGATTACATAGAAAAGTACCATACGTATCTTAGCAATAAAAGAATGTCCTGGTATTGATGGAAATAGTCAATTCTCAGCTCTGAATTAACAGGAAAATAGTAGCGTGTGTTTTTTTATTTTTGTGAATCCTCACCCAAGGATATGTCCCCCATGGATTTTTAGAGAGAGTAGAAGGGAGGGGGAGAGACAGAGAGAAACATTCGCATGCAGCACTCTGACCAGGGCCAGGGAATGAGCCTGCAACCAAGGCATGTGCCTTTGACTGGTATTGAACCCGGGACCCTTCAGTCTTCGGGCCGATGCTCTATCCACTGAGCCAGACTGGCTAGGGTAGAGCATGTTTTTTTAAATTACATTTGGCTTTGGAAAATAGCTAGAAAGACAGAGTAGGCCACTCACAAATGTTTTCCGATCCTCACATTTGGCCTCATTGCTGTTAGGTTTCTGGCCTCCTCTGTGGCTCTTCACCACTTTCAATGGCCTGGGGAAGTGGTGAGTGTTGTTAAATATACCCTGTCAGAGGTCAGAGACACTAAGAGGATCATGTACAGTATAGGTATTCATAGTTCCCAAAAGTTTACACCACTGCAAACGATGAACTCACCCTTCTCATAAAATTGCAACCAACACAGGTTACCCCTAGGGCTTTGGGCAAATGCTTGATGGCCTGCTGCCGTTGCCTAACCGAGGTTCCAGGTGTAAATGGGCAGATCTCTCTGTTCTAATAAACAGGCATGGGGGTAGCTTTTGCAAACTGGCACAATAGCAGGTTGATAACATTTTGTAAGATGTTGGTAACAAATCCCTGGGAAATCTTTAGGCTGAAATAGTATGTGGGCTTGAGCAGGTGTTTTCAGGAGCAACGAAGAGAACAAACAAGTCTAAACCTGAGATCTTGGGAGGTCAATGTGACCTAGAGCAGCGGTTCTCAACCTGTGGGTCGCGACCCCTTTGGGGGTCGAACGACCCTCTCACAGGGGTCGCCTAAGACCATCGGAAAACACATACATAATTACATATTGTTTTTGTGATTGATCACTATGCTTTCATTATGTTCAATTTGTAACAATGAAATTGGGGGTCACCACAACATGAGGAACTGTATTAAAGGGTCGCGGCATTAGGAAGGTTGAGAACCACTGCTCTAGATAATAAATAAGTATCATTGGAAAGATACGGGAACTTCCTGGGGATAAATTCTGTCCTGTTTTACACACACACACACACACACACACACACACACGTCATCCCTCACCTAAGCATACTGAGTATATTCATTTCATATGTATAGTTCAGTGGTAGTAAGAACATTCACATTGTTTTGTTGGGCAACCACGGCTAAGGTCCTTTCAATACGAGATGAAATTAGAAACCAATTACTGTATAACAAGGGGAAAGAGGAATGCAATGGTTAGGACATAGAGTCATTACACTCTATTTTAAGTACAGGACGTGGGAGGGCTGGGAAGAGGAGGGATCTATTGTTGTATTGTTGGTCACCATGAAAACAATAGCACTGGACTCCGTTCTGCCCATCCATCCTGCTTTTTAAGGCTATCAGAGTCAATCCACCTGTTTCCCTGGATCAAGAGAAGATTATCTGTTCAAATCTACCAGCCTCTGGAATGCATGGTGTTTCAACAGCCCGTTGGTTTGTCGAAGATGAGGTCTGCTTTTTCACTAGGGCAAAGGGAGGTTCAATAGTGCCCCCTGCTGACCAGCACCTAGATGACAAAGTATCATTTCCACTTCCTTAGACCCTCTTGTCAGACTTCTCCCAAGAGAGTAGGAAAAATTCTTAGGCGATCAGGGTAGAGTTTACTGAGGCTCAGATCTCCGCT